ATGGTTTGAGATAAGGGTAACATAGACACCCAAAGACACGAAGAAAATAGTAGGAAGGATGGGAGTTATGCAATTTTAAATGAGGACTAGAGTTATTTAACACAATGGATGTCATTTTGTTGATTAAATAAACTGTAGTTTCAAAAGTAAAATCCCAGAATTTATATGGAATAGAGGCACGGGCTAGGAGAGCTAAACCTATTTCAACTATGTGTCTATGTTTTCGTTCGACACAACCATTTTGTTCATGAGTGTATGCACATGACTGCCTATGATTAATGCCTAGTTGCACAAACAAAGAATGTAATTTCTTATATTCAGCTCCTAGATCAGATTGACTGGACTTGATGTTACGATTGAATGAACGCTCAACTAAAGCACGAAATTGATCAAATTTGACATAAAGATCATATTTCTGCTTCATAGGAAAATACCAAGTGTAACGAGAATAATCATCAACAAAGATGACAAAATAACGATAACCATTAGAGGATAGCAAAGGAGCTGGTCCCCAAATAACAGTGTATATCAAATCAATAACATCCGAACTATTAGATTCAACACGTGCCAAAGAGAAACGTGCAGATTTTCCCAATTGACACACTGAACATAAACTGGAATTACAATAAATAGTACGGCTAGAGCCACTAACCGAACAAGACTGAAGAATTTGACTAAGGACACACTGATAAGGATGACCTAAACGATCATGCCAAACCAAAGCGGAAGCACGAGCGGAGAGAAACGCGGAAGGAGACGAACTTGGAACAGGAAAAGTGTATAGGCCACCCGAACTACTGCCTCGTAGGAGGATTTCCTTGGTGGTGATATCTTTCACAAGAAAAAAAAAAGATGAAACTCAAAAAACACATTATTATCTGTAGCAAAACGTTGAACAGATAATAAAGAGGTAGACAGACTAGGAACATGCAATATATTAGACATCGTAAAAGACCTAGAAGGGGTATTAAAAGTAACATGGCCAACACGACTAATAGACAGGTCCAAACCATCATCGACATGTAAAAAGTGTCATTACCAGTATACTTCTCCGAGGTAGAAATGACAGCTATGTCTGGAGTTGCATGATTTGTGGGTCCAGTGTCTGGAACCCAAGTATGAGATTTGACGAGGTTTTAGCACACAAACTATTCTGAAATGCCAAATTAGCTTGAGAACCCGGAGTCTCTGAATAACGCCGAAAACAATTGGCTCCCGTGTGACCGAAACCATTACAAATTTGACACTGTTCATCATAGCGCCGAAAACAATTGGCTCTCGTGTGACCGAAATCATTACAAATTTGACATTGTTCGTCAAAGCGCCGAAAACAATTGGCGCCCGTGTGGCCGAAACTATCACAAATTTGACACTGAACTTTAAAACCACGTTGCTGACTGGACCGCTTCTCATACGGTGTATCCTGGTTCGATGCCATCGGCTGTTGCTACAGTAATAATTATTATTAATGACGACAATAATAATTATTATGAACCCTAGCTAACTGATACCGGATGAGAACTGTATAAAACTGTATTGAATGAACTATGTAATAACTGTACAGACTGGGGGAATATATACCAGAAGAATCATAGAGAGACTAGGATAGGAAGTAGGAATTATAGGGAGACTAGGATAGGAATTCATAATGTGATTCAAATACATAGAGTCTTAATACGAAGAACTATGAGACGGTGTGCTACTCTTGTTTGCTAATACTTTCAATAGAGAGGTCACACTAGACCTGAGTGTTATTATTTTTAGAAAGACCAGAAAAAAATAGAAATTTGTGAGAAAATTCATTTCTCCCTTCAAAAAGTTGGTTTGGGTGAGAAAAAGATGAGATCATCTACTACATGTCATTCTTGTCTAAAGAAGAGAAGGTTATATCAAATGTTAATTTGACAGCGGTTGTTCAGATCACATAACAAATATAAAAAAAAAAAAAAAAAAACCCTAAATGATGTTAGGTACAGTGAAGGGAATGTTACCTTTCGGAATGAAGAAAATGGGAAGACTCTAGGAATAGGAACACTCCATGTTCCTAAATTACCATGTCTAGAAAATGTGTTGTTAGTACATGGGTTACATGCCAACCTCTGTATAAGTTAGTTATGTGATTGAAAGCCCAAAGCCTACTTTAACAAGGATCAATGCAACGTGTTGGACAACTACAACAGACACATACTGGAAGGTATTATAATTGTTATACATTGACAAATGACTTGGCTTGCTTTAGAATAGTGGTTGATGAAATGAAGTTTTGGCATCATGTCTTGCGCACTGAATAAAGTTACAAAAAAAAAAAAAAAAAAAAAAAAAAAAAAGAAAAAAAAAAGAAGATAATGTAAGTGACAAATAAATAATCTCTTCAAATAAATCATAATCTTTTCTATCATAAATATGTGTAGAAAAAATTACATCATTAAATTCTCTCACAGTTGTATTAGAATAGAACTGCAACATATACCTGTGAGTGATTGTTTTGTTTCTATACAAATTAGTAACCGCCAAAAATTTTTTAATCTGTAAATTCGCCCTTCTTTGAATTTCTTCATCCACTTTTGAAGATAAATTTTAGGAATATGACAATGTAGAAAAGTTTCCTGAAATTGAAGTGTAAAAAAAATGTAGTAAAAAGTCATATGCATAAACTAACAAAACCTTTTGAATTAAAAACTATTCAGACTATAGTACAAAAACAATACATCTACATCATGGAATACACATTCTATAGATCTTGATTATTTTATCACCTCTTGTCTTTAGAATATGATAGGTACGCACCACTCTAACCTTGATTGCATTCCTTATGTTTCTAGGATTAAGTTCACCTCCAACAATATAGATTTGAGTTGAAGTCATGCCTATTTGGTATAAATAGGAGCCTACAGACGCATAAATTCATTGGAAGTTTACAATTATACGTTTAGTTTAATGAAGTGTTTAAATAGTAAAAAGAATTCATCTTTACGCAAAATTAGTATTCGAATAAATAGGAAAAAGATTTTGCATGTGTAGACTTGTAATTATTATTGGTGTAAAATCAGTATTTGAATTATTATTATTGGTGTATGTAATAGTTAATAAATTATTATTTTCTTATAAAATTACGTTATTACGTAAAATTTCCAAAAAATATTACCAGATATTAGTTAATTTTCATATAACATTTTGTTACCAGTTAAGCTTTACAGGGCATTTGGTTGTCCGACTTAATTTCCACGTAATTCCAAAGGCCACAAAATTCACTTGTTTGGTTGAAAGGAATTGCAATTCTCCCACTTTCATGGAATTAAAATCCCATGTCCCCCCTATGATTTTAATTCCTGGGATTTTAAGAAGAAAAAAAGATAGTGATGAGTCAAAATTTTAAGAAGAAAAAATGGAATTTTTTTTTTATTATAAGAGAAGGAAAACACGCAAACTACTAATCACCTTCATCAAGGCTTGAACCTACCATCTCTCACACTTAGCAAAGCAATCAGATACCATTGGACCACAAGATCCTTGGTTTTCAAACACTGGGATTTAAACTCCCACTTTATTCCCAGTAATTCATCCCCCATGAAATTGCAATTCCTTTCCCACATAATTCTCCCTCTCCAACCAAACGCCCTGTTATTATTTCTTTTACCAGTACATTAATTAATTAATATTAAAAAAAATTTGAATGGTAAAGTTGAAGAAGTGGATTTTACTTTTATTAATAGTGTAAATAAATTAATATTTTTCTTTTGACTTTTTTTTTTAAACACCCAAATATAAAAAAATTCCAAAAAATAACTTTGGAATGTCATTTTTCAAAAATTCTAAATCTACACTTAAAAGTAATTATAACCGAATATTTAAGTGATGCTGTCGTGGCCCGCTGTGTGCCTACAAACTCATTTGATTTCCATGACATACCTTTTCTTTCCCTTAATCGCTCCGCAATGTCAGTGCTCCCCGACAAATTCTCTGTGTGAGCGTGGCTAAATCTTGTAGTATTTTGTAGTAATAATTTATATCCAAATGAATAATTAAAGATGTGTTCTTACTGAATAAAATTCTCTTAATATATTTAAACTTTATTTAAAGAAAATAAGATACACCTAATATTACTCTATCTAAAATTCTAAATACTTATGTTAGATTTTCCTATTAAGTATTTTTTTTTTTTTTTGAAAAGTAAAACGATAATAGATTACTGAATAAGAATAGTGACATTAGAGGGACAGAGTCTCAATACAATGAGTTAATCTAAATATAGGCTTCAGAAGTTAATGCATAAGCTAGAATATTAGCGTTCCTATTAAATATTTAGTTTCTAAGTATTTTTTTATTTAATTATTACATAAATGTTTTATTAACTTGGGGTAACTCTTTGGATTAAATACAGTTCATACAAATTTTTTACAAATGTATCTTTCAAAAAAATGTATCTTTCAAAAGTTATAGATAATGTTATATTTGAAAGGAAAACGATTCAAATTAGTCATCAAATTACACATAAAAATGTAATTAAGTTATTCAATTCAAAAAAGTGTAATTAGGTATTTAAATTCTGAACTATTCAAAATTATACAATTTGACATATTCATCTGGTTATCGCTAATGTGGTGATCATTGTATTAAAATTTATTTTAATTGTTTTAAATAAATAAAATTAAATATATATAAAAAAAACCCACCCCCTCCCTAGCTTCAGCTAGGTACGAAGACGTGGAAGGGATGAGGTTTTTTTTTTTTTTTTTTTTAATAATTTTATATTATTTAAAATTATTAAAATAAATTCTAAAAAATAATTTTTTCATAAGATGATGATCACGTCAACGATGACATGAAAAACATGAGAAATATGTCAAATTTAGTCGAATTGTATAGTTTTAGACAATTTAATACCGTAATTTCACTTTTATGTGAATTTGAACATTTTTCCTATTGGAAAACAAATACTCCTCGTATTAGAAAATAGAAATGACAAGTATAAAAGGAAAAAAAAAACACAAAAGCAGAAAAAAGAAAATTATCCCGAGTGTCTTCTATGAAGTGTTTTGACGCTTACTAAATACCGAGACATTCGCCCACAAGGAAACACAACAGGAAAAGAGATCTTCCTTCATTAAACCTCAATTTTCGCAAAATAGTCAAAGGAGCTCGAACTGATATATGAATGCCGTGAAGCCCAGGGAATAGCATTGTTGGGCATGAACTGAAGTGAGAGATTATTGTAGTTGAGAGTGAGTGAAGATATGCTTAGTTTTCTTGTCAGAAAAGATGTCAGAAAACTTCTCAAGCGCAAGGATAGTGATGCTGGGGAAAAAGGTCAGTTTTGCAATTTTATTATTTTCCCTTTTTGGCATTATTTATTGTGGACAAAGCATCTATCTTGATAGTTTGGGGGTTTCCCATTCTGGGGAAATACTTAGAATTCTTCCCCATTTTTCTGAAATGCTTGATTTGAGGTTTGTTTAATGCTATAATTTTCTGATTCTCTTTAATTTTTTTTTAATGATTGATTTTATTTTGTTGCTGAGTGCTTCTGGGATGAGATCTTTTGGTAAAACGATTTGAACTTTGTTCTGCATTTTGTTGATTATTTATTTATTCTGTAATATTTAAGTTCGGAAGAAATATGAAGTGATTATTTCTGATTCTGTGAAATTCTTGAATAAGACTACCTTTTGAGATTGAGGCATTGTTTAATCTAGATGCAGAAAGATCAATATTTTTGGCTTATTTCTACTCTGTAATTGAAGGCCTAGAAAAGAATTTGGACTTTATTCTCTTAGAACAAAAGGTTATTATTCAATATGGCCAGCACTTTGCCCCTTAATTGGGCTAGCTCGGTGTGAACGGGGATTAGTCTTAATCTGAGTATGGTACGGGCTTAAAGTGCCTCCTACATCGTGGTCTGGCAAAAAAAGGGTTAAAGGGTTATGATTGGGGATAACCTTAGCCAAGATGGCTAAGGATACGAACTTAATCCCAGTCAGGTATGGGCAACCTAGGTTGGTTTACCTCCTTATAACGGACACCCTCAGGTAGGGGTAGTGGCTGTGGGTTTCCCTCGTCACCCCTAAAGGGTTCTGATTGCCAGTATTAAGAAAAAAACATTACTAGTTAAGTACATTGTGGATTTGGGGTATCCTGGAAACAAATTTGAAATTAAAATGTTGCCTATGCTTGTGTGTGTGTAAGTGCACTAAAGATCTGGCTATTCTTTTACCACAGGAAGGGCTTTAGAGGAGGTGCGAGCTTCTTTGTTTAGCAAATTACGGGTATTTGGAGGTGCGAAGCGACAACCGACCCTATGGGGCCCGATCGTTGCTCTGTCATTCAACTTTGTGGTATCTGTTGGCATTATATTGATGAACAAATTGGTTAGTCAAATTAGCCTTGTTCATTTTGCTTACATCTTTATAGATTATATAATAACCTTTTAATTTGTACAGGTTCTTGTCAAAGTCGGGTTCAATTATCCAATATGTCTATCTTTCATACACTACTTATTTAGTTGGTTGGTAATGGCCATTTTAAAGTGTTTCTCTATCCTTTCATTGTCTCCCCCGCCAAAGTCCACGAAATATTCCTCGTTGTTGTCTCTTGGGATAGTTATGTCTCTCTCTACCGGTCTTGCAAATGTCAGCTTGAAGTACAACAGGTAATCCCTTTTGCTTAATCTGTTGCATAAATAATATTCGTACCCTGCTTGCGTGTTTCACACCGTAGTGAAATTCTTGTACATCGGCAGCGTTGGATTTTATCAGATGGCTAAGATTGCAGTTACACCCGCTATTGTGATTGCTGAGTTTATATTCTTCCAGAAAAGAATTTCCTCCCCGAAGGTAAGCACGTGCTTTGAATTTGAACCTTTCTGTGCAAGTAAAAAACTAGACATCTCGCTTTCTTTGCTACACCAATTTTAGATTTAATTTTCTGTTTCCTTATATTGTTGATATTTGTTCGGGCACTCCCAACATGAACTCAAATAGACGGGTTAAGAAAGAACATATGGGTTTATAAGGCCATGGGTTAGACTAGCTAATGGGTTGGATTCAATCTTTTAATGTGGTTTGACCCATGTGCATTATAGCCCAATTGAGTGACCCTGACTCAATCTTAGTTTATAACATGGTATCAGAGCATGTTCGGTTTTTGGGTTCACCCGGTTATGGGTATTGGTGGATTTTGTAGGACTGCTTGTTCGGTCAGATTGATAAGGCCATGTTCCGTCGGATTGATAAGGCCATGTGTTAAACTAACTAATTGGTTGGATTGAATCTTTTAGCGTGGTTTGACCCATGTGCATTATAGCCCAGTTGAGTGACCTGACCTAATTTTAGTTTATAACAAAATGGGACAAAAATTTTGGGATGGAGTGTGTATGTATTTGTATGTGGCTTTTGGCAGTTGCATTTCTTTAGTGGTCATGGTCCATCTAGTTCTCTCTTAGAGTCTTTGTAAACATTAACCGAGAGACTTATAAATATATTGCCTTGTTATTATCATCCAAATATTTGAAGATAGAAATATATAACGGTACTTGTCTGGGAATGATCGTTTGGTATGTTGCAGGTGATTGCACTTACTATAGTATCCATAGGCGTTGCTGTAGCTACGGTGACCGATCTGCAATTTCACTTCTTTGGTGCTTGCATAGCTGTAGCGTGGATAGTACCAAGTGCGACTAATAAGATACTATGGTCTAATCTTCAGCAGCAAAAGAACTGGACCGCATTGGCGTATGGTCCTGTGCTCTCGTTAACATCTTTTCATATTTTTGTTTTTTTGATAAGTAGCGAATATCTTGTCCTCCTAACATCGTTTTTGAGTTCATCTGACTACTTCCCGAAGTAAATCTCATCGCCCTTGTCCGCAGGCTAATGTGGAAGACCACACCTATTACATTGTTCTTTCTGGTTCTTTTGATGCCATCGCTTGATCCGCCCGGCGTTCTCTCCTTTAATTGGAACGTTTATAACTCGACGATTATTTTTGCTTCCGCTGTTCTCGGTTTCTTGCTTCAGTGGTCAGGTGCTCTTGCACTTGGGTAAGTAGCCTCTGCATTTCAGTTTTAACTTATACTCCCTCGGTCCTATTTTATGTGTCTGGTTCGGTTAAGGTTCGACTCTGAAAGTTATTTTTAATTCAATTTTTTCATAATGTTAAGTTTAGTTTTAGCATAAAAAATTTATATATTTAGAAACCACATGCCTTTATTGTCTATTCATCAATTATGAATTATCGAACAATTGATGAAAGGAAGATAGGATATGAATGCATAGCCTATTTCTCTACTAATTCTCTTTCGTGCAGAGAAACATCTGCAACCACTCATGTCGTCCTTGGACAGTTCAAAACATGTGTGATTCTGCTCGCTGGTTTTCTGCTCTTCGGTTCAAATCCCGGAGTGACTAGCATTTTCGGGGCAACCACAGCTCTTGTTGGTATGTCTATCTACACTTATCTGAACTTGAAATCGAAGCAGCAAGCTGCGAGAACGCCCACTAGACAGTCTCCACTTTCCTCGCAAAAATTGAAGAACGATGGGGAAAATGGCAGTACTGAGAACGGAAGTCTTGGTGACGAATCTGTTTAGTGAATCCTTGGAAGTAATTAAATTAAAACCGCGAACCCACAATGCAAGCCGAGGTGTTACTAACTTCATTAGTTAGATTGTGTTAGTGTTGTAAAGAGCTTGAAACAAAAGTTTGAGTTCTTGTGATGAGAATTGTAGTTGATAGCTGACCTAAACCAAGTTACCAAACCCTCCTGAAGCATTGTGGCTAAGGTTTTTAAGATTAGATTTCATATGAAAGCTTCCCAATTTGTTTGTGTTGGAGGAGTGAGCATGTAGTTTATTGGCTCAAATATTTCCAATTTGGCTTCTATGTTATTGTCGCGCCGACAATTTTTTTTTTTTTCAATTTTATTCGATTTGTTTGACAGCAATTTGTTTTTTTGTTTTTTTTGAGTTAAACTTAATCCTTTTTGTTTTTTTTTTTTTTTGCACCAAAAAAATTTAATCCATTTTTATTTGGCATTATAACATAAGTGTTAATGGGATCAGGCATTAAAGTTTAAACTTTATTGAAAATTTAATACGTAGAAAAATTATTTTCATTTTTGGTGTAATTTTTGACTCAGCACGGACTTTTAAAAAAGCTTTAGGCCAGTCCAATTGTAGGCCCAGGCTTGAGCCTAACAAAAAGTCTACATACAGGCTCAAGGTAAATTATACCGTGCACAAGGGCGCACAATGCATTATGCGCTTTGGCCCAAAACGACGTCGTTTTTATAAGTTGGTGGTGAGTTGATCTGACACAAGTTGGTGAGGAGTTGATATGATGCGACGGACACTGTTCCGTCCGTCCAATCCCGTTACAGTTTTATTTATTTATATTTATTATGTGTATTATGTATTATGTTAGATTATGTGTATTATGTTAGGAGTTTATGTGTATTCTACTATACAATTATGTACATACGAAATAGGGTTTGGACCAGGGAGCACAATGCATTGTGCGCCCTGGTGCAGGATATAATAATTGCAGGCTTAGGCTTAGGTCCAAGTCTTAGATTTTCATAACAAGCCTAGACCTAATTTTCTAAAGCTCGGCTCGGCTCGACGTATTTCCATCCATAATCTAGCTGTAAGATAGTTGTCTGGAATAGTTTCAAGCTAAGCTAAGACACATTTGTTGCAGGTTCTGTTCCATCATATCTTCAATCAGTCACGAACCAATAGCACTATAGTGTGTATAAAATGAAATTCAATAACATGTCTCAAAAAAAAAAAATAAATAACATGTCTCACATATTGAGTGTATATTGTCAAATGAAATTGTAATTGAGTGCCGTTTCTCTTTTCATTAAAAGAAACAACACCGTTTTGGATCATGATCTACAGTAAAATTTGCCTGTTTATGATTGATTCGGTCTTATAAAACCATCAATAATAATATTATTGATGGCGATATTGGACCTCGGGGGACCCATTTTATTGGGAGAGTCGGCCCAACCGAAGCGGAGTGTCCATCTTTATGGGTGAAGTGTTGGCCCAACAAGCATAATGGAATTCTATTGGGCTAAGGAAAGAAAGAAGCTTGGAGCAAAATATTATTAGAATTATTACTAAGGGGTATTAAACCCACAACCTCAAGCATAACAACACAAGTCCCAAACCACCAAGTTAATCAAGATCTTATGTATTAAAGAGCAGGAAGCTCCACATATGCATGGTAGTGCGCTGGAAGCAAAGTAGTGGGTGGACACATGTGTGGTCCAGAATGGAGGCTTCCAAATTCCGTCCATTTGTCAACCATCCGTGAATCCCTGAACAGTATAAATAGGCACCCTTCCCTCCCTTTTAAATGCACCCCTTGGTTTACTAATCCCCTCTTGGTTCGTTGGTCTAAGTCTTCAACCCCTTACTGGCACACTAGGGTTCGAGTCCTATTAGTAGCATATTTAGTTTTATTTCATTTATTAGTTCCCTTGGCTTGTTTAGTCATTATTTTGGGCCATATTCCATTCCTTGGGCCGTGATCTTTGTATTTGGGCCAGCATTCTAGGCTTGTGCCTCGGACTTTGTACGTATTATTTTGGTCATAGCGTCCCGGGTAATAAAGCTATTCTTTGCCTACCCCCGTTCTATATTTCTATATCCGATTTATGATGGACCCGGTCCTAATAAAACCATCATTGGCGCCGTCTGTGGAGATCGCTACGATTAACCTGTGTTTATAGTCTCTATTTGTCTAAGCAAGGTTTCGAGGTACGCCCAAATGGCTGATTCGCAAGATGAGCTATCCTACAAGGTAACACACTTAGCACATTGAGATGCTACCCTTGTGAGTACACTTTTACACTTAGTTCAGTAAAGATTTATGTTTATTTTCTCAAATTATGTGCTCCTATGTGCTATGCATGCTTGGCATACGGCCACCTCAACTATGTGCTCCTACGTGCTATGTTTGGCCTATGGCCACCTCAATTATGTGCTCCTATTTGTTATGCATGCTTGGCCTACGACCACTTCAACTATTTCCCAAGTATGTACTCTTATGTGCTATGCATGCTGGCCTCACGGCCATTCAGATGGTTGAGTACCGGACTTGCATGGCAAGGTAGGCAGTCCTTGTACACTTAGTGGCTGAGGCATGTGGGTTAGCATGGAGACAACCCACATGCGTGTGTCGGACCTGCCAAGGGGTAGGCAGTTCACACGCGGCGATAGGGGTATTGTGGTGCGCAACGCAAACTTCCATATCCCCTGTGCTGTGGACCTGCGTGGCGGAGCCGGCGGTCCACACGCACCTGGCGGTTGGGGCATGCGGGTTGGCAGTAAACAACTTGCATGTGCGTGTTGGAATCGGTCCAAACGCGGTGCTAAGGGCCCAGGGCGCGCATCGCACAAACCCCACGGCTCCCTGCATCTCTCATAAAAAAGCAGAGGGTGTTTAGCCAAGCAACAAAAAAAATGTATACCCCCCGAAAAGGACAGAAGGGAAAACGACTAAGGATTAAAATAATAATAATAATAATAATAATAATAATAATAATAATAATAATAATAAAAGAGGTGAATGCAAGTGCAGCATGGAGAAATCAACAGCGCAGAACAAAGCAACAAGGAAGAACAATGTGAAGCAGCAAAGACATCCAGTGAATATTCAAATGAAGCCGAGTACTAAGTAGCGAGGAAGAGATCCGGTACAAGAAGCACGACAATAGAGGAATCACCTTGACCTCTCTGTAACGTTTTTCCTAATTCATTATTATTATAACATTAGGATAAGTTATGATAATGTTAAGTACTTGATGTATGGTGCAACACTAATAACCTAATAGCTAGACTACCATTATGATTAGGAGTTTGGTTAGGGTTTAGGAGACCTAAAGACATGCAACCACAATGATGGCCAGTGGTTATATAAGGTCACTAGTCCTCTCACTGCTCACGTTACATACCTCATACATCATCTAGAGAGAGTTGAGTAGAAGTGAGAGACAAAGCTCTACCTACAACAGTCCGGATCGCTCAATACAAGAACTAATGGCTGGAGGTTAATATGATCATGTTATCACATATTATATGATGCATGTGATATATTTAATTCTAACAGTTGGTATCAGAGCCATAAATAATCTCTGCCTAGTTCTTTTTTAATTGCTTAAATATTTGCATATGTTATATACTTTGCTGTATAATTGAGATTACATATGTGAATGTTCTTTTGTATGCAATTATAATTCTGGGCTGCTGGAAATTAAGTTTTTTTTTTTTTTCCGCATTAAGTAACAGAAAAACATCAATTTGGATAATTAGTTTATTTTGATACTGCTTTGCCCGTGTTCCCTTTGGAATTCCGGTCGCCAGATAATGATCTCGCGGCGGTCATTGTTGATTGGAGGAGACGATGCCTTTTTCATTAAAAAAAATTCCACCCTTTCCCGTCGTTTTCTCCCTTCAGATTTCATCAACAATGGAATTCCGGTGAATGGGACAGATTGACGGCGACGCAGAGGTATGTTCGGCCGGTCGGTACGTGATATGGCAGGCGGCGGATGGACGGCAGCGGTGTTAGCGTTGCATCGAGGCCATGCGGCAGCGACGTCGCTGGGACTCCCGGCTACGCTGTTGTTATGTGCTCTCTTTCTGGTGACCTATGCACCGCTGCTGGTCTATGGCTGCTGTTTGTTGCTGTTGATGCGCCCTGGTCGTTGCTGGCCTGCGCTGCTGCTGGGCAGTATTAGGGAAGAAGATGATGAAGGCCTTAATGGCGTGGCGGTGTGCGGTAGAGGCACGCGATAATGGTGTGGCGCATAGCAGTGTGGTGTGTGGCAGCAGCGTACGAAGGTGGGGGGAACAACAAGTATCTGGAAAATTTAGGAACTGGAATTTGAGTTTGGAAAATGGTGGAGGTTGTGATATTGAATTATACTTCTTTCAAGCATCCAGATGCCTAAAGAAAGTGGTAGAATTATGATGGCGATATGGGACCCCGGGGGGGCCCATTTTATTGGGAAGTCGGCCCAACCGCCCAAGCGGGGTGTCCATCTTTATGGGTGAAGTGTTGGCCTAACAAGAATAATGGAATTCTATTGGGCTAAAGAAAGAGGGAAGCTTGGAGCAAAATATTATTAGAATTATTACTAAAGGGTATTAAACTCACGACCTCAAAATAACAGCACAAGTCCAAACTACCATGCCAATCAAGATCTTGTGTGCTAAAGAGCAGGAAGCTCCACTTATGCATGGGAGTGTGCTGGAAGCAAGGTAGTGGAGGACACATGTGTGGTTAAGAATGGAGGCTGCTTGATGCCGTCCATTTGTCAACCATCCGTGAATCCCTCAAAAATATAAGGAATAAGGGTCAAATAGGCCACTGAACTGCACACTAAAGTGCAATTAGGCCATCGAACTCAAAAATAATGCAATTGAATCCCTAAACTACACAAACTCATGCAATTAGGTCTAAAATGACCTGTTGACCTGAAATTGTGCTGACGTGGCGGTTATCCATTTTAAAAATAAATTTTAAATATAATTTAAAATAAAATAATTAATTTAAATAAAAAAAAAAAAAAAAAAAAACTAGAACTGCCGGAGACGAATCGTCTCCGGCAGCTTCGTCTCCCTGGCCATGGAGACGAAGAGCTTCGTCTCCCTAGCATGGAGACGAAGGTCTCTTCGTCTCCATGGCCAGGGAGACGAAGCTCTTCGTCTCCGGCCATGGAGACGAAAGACTGCCGGAGACGATTCATCTCCGGCAGTTTTTTTTTTTTTTTTTTTTTTTTTTTTTTTTAAATTATATAATTTTAATTAATTATTTTATTTTAAAAAATATTTATAAATTATTTTTAAAATTGGTAACCTGCATTTCAGGTAAACAAGTCATTTTGGACCTAATTGCATGATTTTGTGTAGTTCAGGGACTCAATTGCATTGTTTTTGAGTTCGATGGCCTAATTGCATTTTGGTGTGCAGTTCAGTGACCTATTTGACCCTTATTCCAAAATATAAATAGGCATCATTCCCTCCTTTTTAAAGGCACCCTCTAACTCACCAATCCCCTCTAGGTTCGTTGGTTTGAGTCTTCACCAGGGTTCGAATCCTATTGGTAACATATTTAGTTTTACTTCATTTATTAGTTCCTTCGGCTTGTTTAGTCATTATTTTGGGCCTTATTCCATTCCTTGGGCCATGATCTTTATATTTGGGCCGGCATTCTGGGCCTGTGCCTCGGGCTTTGTACGTACTATTTTAGGCGTAACGTCCCGGGTAATAAAGCTATTCTTTACCTACCTCCATTCTATATTTCTATATTCGGTTTATGGTGGACCCAGTCTCAATAAAACCATAAACTATATTATTATTATTATTATTATTATTATTATTATTATTATTATTATTATTTGATATAAGTTGCACGTTGTCCCTGTGATATGATGGTGAGGAGGGTTGATGAAAGCTCCACGAAACAGTTGCACATGTACTGTTCGGGAGGAGCAAACAAAGCTTACACATGCAGCTATTTTGGACTTTAATTAATCTGACCCATCCAATCCCTGCACTACGCAAGATTACATCTTGGATTGATTTTCAGGATAAACAAAACCATTTAATTCACTATATGCTAAATTGCTAATCAATGTGTCACGTGATGCAGCAGATTAATTAACCCTCTGGACAAAAATGACATTTTAATTAAGATATTAAACATACCCCTGTCATATTCTATTTGCCACTTAATTATTTTATTTCATTTCAATATATAAACTTTCCATTCAAAGTTTTGATCGAGGTGGTTTATTTTCTTTAAAAGAAATATGAATCTCGATTTTGTTCTCTCAATGTGATTTTGTCAAAGTTTGTGCTTAAGGTGCGTGGGGTTTGTGCTTAATGTGGGTAGTTGTGTGAAACTTAAGGTGTGTGAGTTTTGTACTTAAGGTGCGTGTGTTGTGTGCTTAAGGTGCGTGATTCGTATATTTAAGGTGTATCAGTGTTATAAATTAAAATGCACGAAGTTAATACTTAATGTGCGCTGTTTTAATGTTTAAGGTGCATCCAACCGCACGGGAAGCCATTTCCGCACCTGAACCCTTACCTATATATATGTACCAAGTTGTTCTCACATATGAAAGGTTGTGAATTGACTCTTTATGCTTTAATAGGTTGGGAAGACAACCCAGTAGTACAAAAAAAAAAAAAAAAAAAAAAAATTAGCTTTTAAAAAAATGATTGGAGCAGTGGGCATGTTAATTTGTTAATAGTATTGTTGTGGATCAATTTCGGCCAAGTTCGAAGATTGAACTAACTGCAGGATGCACGTTCCATGGGAAGTTCACTGAACAATAACGGAAAAAAAAGCCGTGCTGTGTTCATCGGGATGAGGTAATCTGAAATCCACCTCGTTTGACTTTGTTTTCTCTTTTAGCATGTTTGATTTATAAAATAGGTCAAAATATAATATTATTCTAAAAAATAAACATATTCCATTGTTTGATTTAATATTTTATTTTTGAAAATAATATTTATAAGAATGAGCTATTCATTTTACACTGAGAATAACTATTCTTGAGAAGCCCTCTAATATTAGCTATTTCCAAACATTCGGGAATAATTTTTGTATTATAATATCAAAAATACCTTTTATTACGCTTGCAAAATATCAACATGCGTTTGTAAGATCAAGAGTTCAAAGTATAACTAAGATCTCAGTCATATACATAACAAGGAAAATCCACAGCTTCCTACAACATAATCCCATTGCATGACGCTGATGTCATCTATGCTACCAATGGTAATTCAATTGTGCCCGCATGGGTAGCTCAACTGGTCATAGAGGTGAAACTTTGGAAGAATGACCAGGGATCGAGTCTCACCAGCGGCAGTGTGGGAGCAACCTCTCAAAGTGAGGGGGGTTCCTTGTGCGCAGTGAGCACCAGTCTAGCCTCTGTGATTAATGTTCAGTTGAGTCACCATGATTTACAACCTCCCACCACTCTGTCGGGCCGGGGTGTGGGGGGCCCTTAGGGTTGGGGTTCAGCCTTGGAAGAATAGTAACTCAATTGCAAATAACAAACAACCAACAAGAAAGAAGAGGAAGAATAGTAACTCAATTGCAAATAACAAACAACCAACAAGAAAGAAGAGGGAAAATAGTGAAGATGAAGACAATGACAATGCTACATATTCAAAAAAGAATTAAGAACACTTACGAAAATTCAAACCAAAAGTACTATTTATTTAGACTATCGATTTTACAAAGTTGCAAACACTTATTCTAGTGACGATTATAATGAATCTCCTATATTATCTTGGATTCATATACTTTGAGTTATATATTTTAAATAAACAAATTCGACATTCAATTACCTATGTATAAACCTCTCCTATATAAGTTTGCATTGATATACTTTCAAATACTTATTTAAATATATTTAAATAAACAAATAGTTTGCATTGATATACTTTCAAATATTTATTTAAATATATTTAAATAAACAAATTCGATATTCAATTACATATGTATGAACTTTTCCAATATAAGCTTGCATTGATATACTTTCAAATACTACTTTTTTTTTAAACAAAACGAAAGACGTTCATTAAATATTCAATAACTCAACGATACAATCAGGGAGACTAACATCCCACACACCTGAGCCAGCTATAGAACCGGTTGCCCTAGCTAACACATGAGCTACACGATTCGCTGATCTCTTAACATGAGAAACACAGACGTTCCCCATGGCATTAGCAATTGCACGACATTGCTTAACAATTACATCTACATAAGAATAATCAAATTTGCAAGAATTGAAAGCATTGCAGAAATTTAAACAGTCTGATTCAAGCACGATGTTATTGAGACTTTGGTCTTTAAGCCACGAAAGAACCTCCTTTGCAGCCCGAGCCTCCGCCACATAAGGATCCCCAACACCTTCCAACCGTCCGCTTTTAGCCGAGAGGAACTGCCCGTCGTGATCCCGGACGACAGCTCCAAAACCAGCCCCGTCCCCAAAAATAGCGGCATCAATATTGCATTTGACGGAATTAGCAGGTGGCGGTGTCCACTGAACAATTACTGTCGGGCAACCGGTGGTTCGCAAAGATGATGCATAGACCTTCTACAAAGCTTGTAAACTTTGCACCTGAAACTGTGCAGCCGTTACATCTGGTGTTTTAGCATTCCACACTGCGTCGTTGCGGGTCTGCCACACCACCCAAAAAATGGCTGCCATCCTTTCCGCCAAACCTGTCGTGTTAGTGCGTAGCATGGATTCCAGAAACACAGGCAAACGCCTTCCACAAAGCACGTCCGCAGTGCCCCACATACTTGTCGCGAAGGCGCAAGTACAAAAAAGGTGTTCCACTGTTTCAGTTTCAACCCCACAAAGAGGGCATCCGCCTCCGATCCACACACGCTTCTTTCTCAAGTTATCCCGTGCTGGTAAAATATCCCGAACACACCTCCATAGCAAATTCTTCACCTTAGGTGGTATAGGCAGTGACCAAAGTGACTTCCATCCCTGAAACTCCTCGGTCAACACATGTTGCCCCTCATGATTAGTTAACAAACGGTAGCCATGTTTAACGTATAACAGCCCCGGATGTCTCCAATCCACCCCCAGCAGTCCTGCAGATGAGTGTTCACCGGTGTGGCTAGAATACGGGTTACATCAGCGGGCAAAAAAATGTCACGGATCACGTCCTCATCCCAAACCCCGCGGTCAGTGAGTAAGCCCTCTACCTTGGCATCGCCCAGCTGTGGAACATAAGGGGTACGTAAGGGCTGATTCGTGGCGTTCGCGACCTAGTTCCATCCCCAAATCTTGGTGTCTGAACCATCGCCAATTCGGCGGGCAATCCCCAGCTGGAGAACCCTCTTCCCGGCCAGAATGCTTCGCTAGACAAAGCTTGGATTCGCGCCTAGCTGGGCCTCCATAAAATCTGTAGAGGGAAAGTAGCGTGCCTTAAGGAGCCGGCACACTAGAGAGTCAGGATTAATCATCAATCGCCATCCCTATTTGGCTAACAAGGCCAAGTTAAACTCGTGTAGCTTTTTGAAGCCTAACCCACCTTTTGTCTTAGGCTTGCACATTTTGTCCCAACTTAACCAATGGATTCCACGATTGCCTGAGCCGCCACTGCCCCACCAATAGCGATTAAACACCTTCTCAAGAGTGTCGCAGACGCGTAGAGGCAACAGGAAGACGGACATGGTGAAAATTGGGAGAGATTGGGCTATGCTTTTGAGCAACACTTCCTTACCGGCGCGAGATAAAAACCGGTGTTGCCAGGCTCCAATGCGGCTGCGGATGTTCTCCTCAATATATCGGAAAACTGCGATTTTGTTGCTCCCAAGTGTTGACGGAAGTCCCAAGTACCGCCCTAGGTCCATAGTCTCGCGGACTCTAATGATACCCGAGACCACAGTCCTCTTGTGGACCGTTGTGTTATGACTGTAAACTGCACTTGATTTGTCAAAATTAATGAGTTGCCCCGACGCCACACTGTAATTGTCCAAACATTGCTTTATATGCAATGCTTCCTGTTGAGTAGCCCCGAAAAAGAGTAAACTGTCGTCAGCAAAAAACAAGTGAGAGATGGCCGGAGCCCCCCGGGCCACCCTCACTCCATGAATATCCCCTCTGGCCTCTGCTTGTTGTAACAGGACGGAGAAGCCTTCGGCACAAATGATAAAAAGGTACGGGGATAGCGGGTCTCCTTGCCTAATCCCCCGAGATTGACACACCTGTCCCACTGCCATCCCATTGACTAAGATAGAGTATCTTACAGTCATGACGCATGCCATAACTAAATCCACCCAACCTCCGTCAAAACCCAACGCACATAACATTCCCTTCAAGAACGCCCATTCCATCCTATCGTACGCCTTAGCAAATGTCTAGCTTAAGCGCCGCCCATCCTACCAAGCCCCCAGTTTTACGTTTAAGGTAATGCCCAATTTCACTGGCCACAATAATGTTATCGGTTAATAACCGGTCAGGCACGAAGGCACTTTGTGACTGAGACACAACCTTCTCCAAACATCCCTTTAACCTGTTCGCAACCATTTTGGCCAACACTTTGTAAGCCACGTTACAGAGTGCAATAGGACGCAAATCAGACACCTTTTCAGGCACATGTTTTTTTGGGATTAAAACGATATTTGCATCGTTCAATCCCTGCGGAAACCCCTTGTTCTCCACACACTTAAAGATAAAGACTGCCAAGTCATGCCCCAGTACCGGCCAAAAATGCTGAAAAAAGACTGGTTATTTAAATATAAACATTGGGCATTAATCTATTCGCACAATGCGCGTGTAAAAAATAATAAGTGATGACCGACCCACCATTCATAGTTTTGCTCAACAACAAAATATGCCAGCACCCTTAATTGGGATGCGAATCAAACCTATGACCTTCCGTTTGAAAGGGCCACATTGATGCCATCAAACTATAAGGTCCATGGCAACAGGCAATCTTTATGGATTAATTACTTTTTATATATAAAATTTGATAATATATTTTACCTTTTTCCTTTAATTTACATTGAAAGGCCAATTCGCTTATTAAATTTGAGACAAACAAGTGAAAAAATGCGAAAACAAGGTGGATTCCAACTACAAAAGACAAAAGGGTCAAATAACCTCATCTATAATTAATGAGTATTCAATTCACATCTTCAACCAAAATAATATTTGATTGGACACCTTTACTTTTGAAATTTTATTCACTTAGCATTTTCTCTAGGTTTCTCCTAGGTAAATCTTCCACAATGTTGACATGGAATTTAAATTTAAATAAAAATAATTTTGCTGACTTGTTAATTTGTCACCTTGTGGACCTTTAAACCATTCAAACCTAGAGGAAAAAAAAATTCAATTCTCTCTCTTTAAATTCCTTGAACGGTTATGGTGATATAGCGTCACCATCTTTCTTCCCACAATCGCAAACAGTAGATGACTAGCTTGAAACTCCGGTGGGTGAGCAACTCCAAAGGACCGTGAAACAGCTGTATCACCATGCTGGACGATGCACTCCACCAGTTCCGACGAAGCCAGCATCTCTTCATATGGTAATTAAGCAACTCCTCCAAAAGCAACCAGCAAGACAAAGCGAAACCTTCTCGAAATGCCAAGTAATCCGTTTTACTATAAAGCTAAGTATTCAATTTACTAAAATCATAAAAAATAATTTTTAAAATTTTTATTTTTCTAGGCTTTCAAGATCCTGATGCAAAGGTGATTACTTTACCACCCAAGACTATTAGTTACAAATAGATTTGTTCGTGAAATCTGCAACAAAGAATTTCAAAGAGATCAAAATTTTCAACTTCACATAAGGGGTCACAATTTGTCATGGAAGCTGAGCCAGAGATCAAGAAAGGAGGTGAAGAAGAAAGTTTATGTTTTCCCTTAACCTACTTGCGTTCACCATGATCCTTCACAAGCTCTCGGGGATTTGACTAAAATCAATAAGCACTTGATGTGAAATATTCCTCGGACCTATAGCCGTATACCTTATTAGTATGTACTCTGTATATCGTAGGGAGCAATTCCTGATTGCATCCGACCTTATAAGAGGTTCGACCCGACCCGATCCGATCCGATCCGAGGAGAGATATGAGTTCGTCATTCAGTTTAAGTACGACATGTCTTGGGCACGGTCCCAACCACGAGGCAGGGAACGAGTATCCCAAGCAGGAATATTTCCTATTTTAGAGGACAAGCCTAATTAATGACATTCTACACGATCACAGTGGGAATGGGCACGTCAAGAATCTAGCAACAATGCCTCCGACCTCCCCCCTCGCCTAGTGTATGCATTACAAATGGCACACGTGCTGACGCCCCCCCCCCCCCCCACCCCCTCCAACCTCTCCCCCTGCATGTAGTGTTCCCTTCAGCCCTCTATATAAGGTGCACTTAATGCCTTGGAGATGAGATTTTTCGACTTTCACCTAACCTACATCAGCTCGGGAATGTCCAACCCGTTGTTACTAATTCCCGAGCTCACCTACTATAATCAATACTTAGACCTATTCGTATAACTTGATGTGTTTACCACATCAGCACTGTTGTCGGGTTAAGTCTTGGTGTATAATTTGGTGTTATGTTGATAATTAAGTCTTTGTTTTCTCTAAAGGTCAACAATCAGCAAAATCATTTATATTTAAATTTTATGACAGCGTTGACTCTATTACAATGTAATATCTGTTCAAAGAACCAATAACGTCTCTACTAAGGCTTGAACTCACAACCTTTCAAATGGAAGTCCAACTTGGATACCATTAGACCACATAGTCTTGGTATCGAAAGAAAATGTTAAGTGACCAAAATTTTAAAAATATTCAAGGTGTGAATTGAACAAATTATTGACAGTAGATAAGATTATTTGACTCTTCTGTCTCTATAAAATAACTACGTTGGGAATTGAACTATTGCATGCTTGAACAACGTCGTTAACAGTAGTGTAATACATTGACAAGTCTTGATCTAGGTCAAACACCATGTGCCTAAACTAGGTATTCTAAAGGAGCATAAATAATTTTGTCTAAGATTAACTAATTATAAATTTAAATAATTTGTATAACAAAATCCAACGGTCACAAGCTTCCAAGTTGTTCACTGAATTTGATGGCATCTTCTGCTCGATCAGAAAGCTGGTTCTTGGAATTCATCAATCTTTAATATCCCCAATTTTTTAAAAAGAAAAGCTTATAGACCAAGAAGTACATAATACAGTATTGTAATGGGCAAGGCAATCAGCATCCCAAATATAACCCTGCAAAAAAATAAGAATAAAAATAACAATACAATATCAAGGGCAAGAAATTTGAACCCTGATTAACTCTTCAAACTTCCCAATTCACTAAAATTTAATGAGAAAATAATAATATTATTATAATTATTCCGTTGAAATTATAATGTAAATCTAATACGTTTGTGTGTGTGTTGGGGGGAGGGGAGGGGAGGGGGGGGGGGTATTTAAATTCTTTGTTAAGTAGTATATTTGATTTCTAAGTTTTTAATATGTCATGAACAAAATTCACCACTTCACTCAAAAAATAGGAACTAAATTTATACCACAAATAATTGAGAGATTAATCCACAATTGAAAAATTAAGTGTTATTTTATATTTTTAATTATTTAGCAATGACACATAGCTTATTTATCTCATTTTACTTCTGTTATTTACTATTCAATTATTAAACTAACTATTTCTTATTCGCTTATTTTCTCTAATTTTTTTTATGATTTTAAATTTAGTTTTTTTTTTTTTTTTGTATTTAATATTATTTTTACAAGCTAAATATTGCAAAACAAATTGAATTATAAATAAATTTTTTCAAGTCTAGTTAACCAAATTAGCCACATGCATAAAATATAACGAAGAGATCAAGTAGTAAAATTTATTTGTTTACAAATTTCAGTTGTTATATTAAGCACGCAACAAAAAAAAAAAGAATTTTAAAAACTATTGAGATAAGCTAAAAACAT